AGTGATAGCAAGGAATAATGCCTGCTCTCTCTAGAAGGTCATAGGCAAGGAAAGACACATGTAATCAACCAAATATATGGATGCAGTTAGGGAGGTAGACAGTGCTAAAGTAAGGGTTCACCCAAGGTGTTAGGGGGCCAATTGTCAGGTTAGGACAGACTGGTGTTGGAGCTCAGAAGCGTCTTCCCAGAGTGGTTGGGAGAACCTGGAACTGCATTTGGAAGGAGTGACTTGGCATGAGAAAGTGAAGAGCAGAAGCCTTGGGGGGAGCTCCTTGCTGGCTCAGTCATCCTTTCTGTGTACCTGGTTCCATGTCATGTGTGAAGTACACGCTTACGGATTGGAGGAATCAGAAAATCATTCAGGAACTGTAGCTTGTGGTTTCATAGTTCTCTAAAGCTCACACCTGGATCTCTGAAAGAGGAAGGGAAGGGAGAGGATCAGGCAAGTTCTGTAGACATGTGAGTGGGGAACTGGGAGAAATTTTTGGCTAGCAAGAAGAATGGGCTTCCTCAGGGATTTAATTGCTTAAAGCTCACATTGGCAGGACCCTGGAGAGGTGAACTGAGAAGTCAGAGGCGGGATGAAGAAGTGTAGGCTCTCCTGACTTTTACGGCCCGCACTTCCAGAAGGAAAAGGACTGGCGTGCTCTTCATACTGGGGATCTCTGGAGCACCAATCCCCTTCTCTGGCCTAACTTTTCACATATTGGAGGACACTGCCTTTCCCCCTAGTGGTCTCATTCATACCCTTGTAACCACTGAAAAAGAGAGTGACTTTTTATCTTTTGTTTAATGATTCAGAGGCCTCGGGGGCTCATTTTAGACCCTTTGTTTGTATAGAGGAGAATGTCTGAAATAAGGTATGATTTGGGTCCTGGTGGAGAATAACAAAAACTGGCAAATCACCTGTCAGAAAAACTGGGGGAGATTTTACCTAACTTCTCACTACTTACCAGACAAGGGTGAAGCTTAAAGTTACAAGGACCATTTAAAAAGTATAGTAACTAATTATCTTTTGTATATTTTTTGTGTTTTACTGGTAGGTAGAAATAGATGTCATTGTGTCATTACAGAAAAAAATATCTATGTGTGTAATGCTCAGTTTAGGTTTTCCTCTAGAGGAGTGAAGTTTTCTCACACACTTTCTTGCTGTGTGCTGGGGTGGAAATGAGCCAACCGCCGCTGGTCATGAGCAGATTGGGATGTCTGCACTCTTGTCTTTCTGCCTCTGCAGAGCTGGGCAGAACTGCCAAGGAGCCACTGGAGAGGAGAGGGACTGGCTGGGGACGTCTATCTGAGCTTCGCACAGGAATCTGGGTGGAGAGCTCATGAATACCACAGGGAAGGGAGGAACTCATGCTAAGTAAAGTGTAGCCCCATGCTCCTAATAATTTAAAAAAGCTATAGCCTCAAAATCTCCTGGTTTTGTTTTTTATAACAAAGACATGACCCCATTTATAGCATGGCTTGGCATACAAATTAAGCTTGCAACAGCTTTTTGAATCAGCTTGCAACAAAACCCATGAAGTTGGCTCTCTGCTAATATACTAGCCTTGATAAGATGCTAAGGTATTAAGAGTGGTGATCTTTGAGATACTGAGGTACCACAGTGGTGCCCTTTACATTTCATGTCTTTGTCATATCTTTGTTATAAAAAACAAAACCAAAAACTCTAAATGTAT